CACACAGGGACACACAGGGACAGAGGGACACACACGGACACACAGGGACACACACGGACACAGGGACACACAGACACACAGACACACAGACACATGGACACAGGGACACACAGGGACACAAAGGGACACACACGGACACACACGGACACACGGACACAGGGACACACAGGGACACAGGGACACAGGGGCACAGGGACACACGGACACTCGGACGCACACAGACACAGGGACACAGGGACAGAGGGACAACAGGAAGTGAGCCCACAGATGGAATATCGCCCGTGGAGCAGCTGACTGTCAGCACAGCACATTTCCAGGCTCACATGTTTTCAGAGCCCACCTTGCAGCACACAGCACGGAGCTTGCTTTTCCCCAAGAAAAACCCTTCCCAAAGTGGCTCCTCCACCTCAGCACCATCTTCCTTCCTCCTCCTCCTCATTCCCCCTTTGTGCTCTGCTGGCCTCAGGATGGGCCTCGGGGATACTGGGACAGCTGTCCGTGGAAACACGGAGCATTTTCAACCTTTACACCGGGATTGTTTGCTCAAGCAGAGCCCAGAGAAGGGCAGATGGCAGCACAGCCTGAAATAACCTCTGCACCCACTGGCTTCCCGGGCTTTTCCCAAAGTTTGGAAGCTGTTACCATGGAGCCACCGGGATGGGGACAGAGCTCCACACCCAGCCCCGGCTTCAGAGAGGCAAAGGGAACCTGCAGGGATGACATTCCCAGCCCAGCTCTCCAGCCTTTCCCAGCCCTGCCTCTCTCTCCTGGAGAGCCCAGAGCTGCTTCTCTTACCCTGCACACAGCCCCAGGCCCAGCATCTCCCTCTGGGGTCCCTTACAGACACCATCCTTTGCTCTTCTTTCTGCCCAATTTACCATTTTTTCCCCCAAATTTATGATTTTTTCCCCCCCAGTTCTGCTTTCCAGAAGCACACGGGAAGGAGGTTTCAGCTTTTCCACTGAGGCTGTTTCATTCCTGCACTCGTGCTTCCCTAAAAGCTCATTCAAACAACTTTAATTGTATATTATTTTCTCTCTGAATTGCCCCCACGGATAATTTATCTTCTCTTAGTGGAGCTGGAGGGAGTACAATCTTATCTTTCAGCTCCAGCAAGGCTGACAATTTCCTATCTTCTGATGCCTTCTGCTCTTCACTGTGTCAGGGCCTTGTTAGAGAGTTGATTAAAGCAAAATTGCTTTATTTTATTTTATTTTATTTTTTTTTCTGCTGCAGTCTAACCCAGAAATGCCCAAAGTCATCTTTCACAATGCTCCCCGTGTTCCCTGCTATAAAAGTCTCTCCTGCCCTGGCTGGAGAATTCAGCACTGGCTGTAATGTTTGCCATCAATTAAACCTCCCCTCCTGTCACTCCTCTGAGCTGTAGGAGGTGAAAGAGTTGGGATATTCAGCCCAGGCTGGTCACTCGCTCTTGTTCATTTTCTCCTTTTGATAAAACAAAAAAAAATATCTTTTCTTCATAAATTGCTTTTCTTTTACTGTGTGCATCCAGCTCTTCCCAATCCTCTCCACCACAATTTCTGTTTCTCAGGAATCCCAAAGCCAAACATCGTGGTTTTGGTAATATCTGTTAGAAATGAAATTAGAATTTTGACAACTAAGACCTTTGAGTTAATAACAGTTTAATTAAAAATTAATACAATTTAGTAAATTGAATAGTAATTTGGTATAAATTTAGTAAAATAATAGAATTTAGTAAAAATTATAATTTATATATATAATTTGCCAGTAATTAAGTATGATTAAAGCATAAGCAAAACTGACCGGGGTATGGAGGGGTTCCCCACCCTGCCTCACGTACAAAACAAAGCACTTCAAGCTAAACTGATATACTGTGTGCTTATACATATTCATTCATGTTTCCTGTCAGTTTCCTCCTATTTCAAATTTTTCTGACTTTATATCACTTTTCTTCACAGCACATGCCTCACTTGTTGCTAGGGGGTCTTCAGTTTTCTTTTGGGGTCTTTTGGCGAAGGCTTCTCCTCTTCCTCGTTGTCCTTTGGATAACCTTACAGGTTTGTGTGTGCGTACTAAGCATTGTGTTATGTAAATCTACTAATTAGTCTGATATTTACTGGTTTTTATGCCCAATGCCTAAAGCAGTTCTAATTTTGTCCATCTCAAGGCCGTTTTCGTCTTGGGACATCACTTATCTTCTAAACTCCATCCTGTACCTCAATTTTAACATGTAACATCTGTAGAGGGGTGCATCTGCCTTGTAACACTGATTCTTTTGGTTGCTTCTAATAACAACTTTAATAACAGTTACAATTGAGCACGAATCAATTCCATTCATTACACACCCAGCCAGTGGGAGAAGGTTTTTGGACCCGTGTTATCCATCACACCTCAGTCTTGAGACAGTCTGCACCCTTCCAGATCCCAGCAGGATGAAAATGGCCCTTTCTAGGGCTGGAAGGTCAAACTGGGCCCGACTCAGCACATTCCAGCTCAAAGCAAGAGCGGTTCCCTGGGGCTGGGGGTCCCAGCTCCAGCTGCTCGAGGCCATTAAGATCCATCAGTGGTGGCCCCAGCTCTTCCTCAGCACAGGGGTTTATTCTAGGTGTCGAGGGAGGAGTGACTTAACGAGGTTTTCATTCAATCACTTTAATTGCATCACCGGCTGAAGTGAATGTGCCCCAGGGCAGCAGAGAACGCTGATGGGAGCGAGCCATTAGGGTCACAAACACCCCTGGCTAATGCAACCTGCAGCACGCAGGACCAGGAAAATGAGATTTATCATTTCAACAGATAGCTTTCATCTGGATTAGGCTGCTGAAGGATGAGCTGCAGGGGCTGGGGAAAATCAACATCCCCCACAAGAGATGTTGGAAGCAGGATAGTGCCAGCACGGCAGTGACCTCGTGGCTGTCCCCTCTGTCACTGTCACACCGATGGCGGCTCATTGTCTTCATTTCATGTTAATCGCTGCTGTTTAGGCAGATGGATTATCGGCCTTTCTGCCTGGCTGCCTGCGCCCCGGGGCGGCTGCGGCAGCGCTCGATGATGGCACCGCTCCCGCTCATCGATGGCTGGGGCTGGGAGCTGTGTCCAGTTCCCAAACCAGCCCTGAGCACCCCCAGAGTGACCCCTCAGGGATCTCACCCTGTGGGGCAGGAGCAGCCAGGAGGGAATCCTGGTGTTCAATGATGGCCATGATAGCACAGCTTCCATCGATGGCTGGGGCTGGGAGCTGTGTCCAGTTCCCAAACCAGCCCTGAGCACCCCCAGAGTGACCCCTCAGGGATCTCACCGTGTGGGACCGGAGCCATGAGCCATGAGGGAATCATGGAATCATTGATGGGAAGGGAGCCATTGGGATCATCAGTCCAAGCCGTGCACAGACACCCCAAAAACCCCAACCTGTCCTTGGCAGCCTCGGGGCTGTGATTCCCTGGGGGGCCCTGGGCAGTGCCCAGCAGCCTCTGGGGAGGAACCTTTCCCTGATCTCCCACCTGACCCTCCCTGCCCAGCCCCAGCCGCTCCCTGGGGCCTGTCCCAGGCCAGGAGAGTGAAGAAGAGCACAGGGAGGTGTCCCCTCAGCTTCCCTTTCTCCAGGCTGAATAAAACACGGCCAAATATATCCCTGAGGGAAAACTGAGGGAAAGCAGCTCACTGAGGTGTCCCTGGATGTAACCACCAGGGATGCCCCAGCTCTTCTGCCTCCGGAGCAAACCCGTGCTGAGTGACCGGTCCTGAAGCCCTGGGCGGCCCTACTTGGGGTGGCATTCCCACCCACAGGAACCCTCTTAAGCTCAGCCCAGGGCTGGTCCTGGTTTGCTCTGAGCTCCTGCTGGTGTCTAGTTTAACCCTTGCTGCCCCTGCACCTCTGGGCCGCAGGGATCTGGGTCCTGGCCTGGGTTGATTTCCCAGCTTGGGCTCAGGTGTGGTTTGTGCCCCTGAATCTGCCCAGGGATCTCCTGGCTCTGTCCAGCCCTAGGTGCCCTGGCTGGGATTGATCCTGGGTTGGTGTTCCCAGCCTGTTTTGGGCAGGATGTGGGGACTCGTGGCTGCTCTCCTTCCCTGCCAGCCACGGCGTGCTTCCCTTTCCTCCCCGCTCCGCGGGAGGAGAGCCCTCCTTGCCACCCCACGAGGGCACCCCGTGTCCGAAGCCACAGCCCAGGCTACTAAAATGCCACGGGAACAGCCGTGAGGAGCACCCCAGGACATGAGGCTGTCCCTGCAGCCACCACAAGAGCCCAAATCCCTGGTTTTTCCTAAGGAAGAGGGAGCCCAGCTGCAGGCAGTGCCCAGCCAGGCTGGAGCCAGCCCTGCGCTAATCCAGGGCTGCCACCTGCCGTCTGCTCCTACCGCATCAGCCACATCCTGAAAATTCCCCCAGATGTTCCAAGTTTTCCCCCTGTGCCTTCCCGGAGGGCCTCGCTGGCGCCCAGGAGCAAGCCGGGGTGTAGCAAAGCTGTCCCCAAGCAGCCTGCCCGTGGCTGGACGGAGCTGCTCCCAACAAAACAAAAGTTATCCCTTCCCTCGGGGTAATGAGGTCAGGGAACGGCTGAGTTATTGGACCCCCACTCCCTAAAAAACTGGGTGGAGAAAAACATTCCAGCGTGCCTGAGCTGGATGAGGAATTCGCAATGGAGACAAATAATTTTGGGCTGGGTCAGAGAGGAGGGAGAGGGGGGAGAAGCAGTTTGATTTGTGCCCCTCTTGCTCTTTCCTCGCAGAAAAGGAGGTCAGGCCAGCTTCAGCTTTCTGTCAGCACGGAGCTGATCTCAGCCGAGATTCCTGCCCGGACTCTGTGTGCATCCCAAAGCAGCCTGCCCCCAAATCACCGCTTGTGTCACTCGTTTGTCCTGCACCGAAAGCCATCTCAGAGGAGATGTCCAGTCTGACAGGAGCACTGAGCACTGGGAGGAGGTGGGAATAACCCAGCTGCCATTCCCCCTGCGATTGGGAAGTGTCAGCTCAGCTTTTTGCTGAGGCGAAAAGGACATCTAAAATTATTATTAATTTTTTTATTTTTTTTTTTTGAGCAGCTTTGCCTCCAACTCTTTTCCCTCAGAGCACGTCGCTGTGTGATTTTACAAGTTCTCCCTCCTCTCACTCCTCAGAGCACGGGGGTTTTGTGCAGTTTAAGTTTTTTCCCGGCTGTTTAGGATGGAAACGGCGGGGCTCAGCTGTGCAGCAGGGTGTGAATGAGGCACGGAGCCTCCGGGGTGCCTCACCCCGATGTTATCTGCCGGAGCTGCCATTGTGCCTTTGGGGAGATGAATACCCAATAATCAGGTCGGAGTTACCTTTTGGGATCGCTGTTTTCCTGGCAAGCGGCCCTGGGAGCATTATCTGATGTTATCCAGGGTTTCTCAGCCCTGAGAGCAGCTGAAAAAGAGGAGTTTTGTGCTGGACTCTGTTTCGTGCTCTGCCCGGCCCAGGACACGTTCAAAAAGTGAGTCCAAGTGAGGCAAAGCGAAGAAATTCTTCCCTGTGAGGATGGGGAGGCCCTGGGGTGGAATTCCCAGAGCAGCTGGAAGGGTCCCAAGCCAGGCTGGATGGGGCTTGGAGCACCCTGGAACAGTGAAAGGATAACCCCGAAATCCTTTCCACCCCAACCCATTCTGTGAAAGCTTTCAAGTGCCAAAGCATATGACTAAACATATCAAAATTACAGGGATCTCTCAAACACTCACAGCTGCCAGAAGACAAGCTCAAAATTCCCCCACAAAATAAGGGTGATGCCTCTTTGCTGCTCTCTGAGAACTGAAACTCTCCTGAATTTCCTGCTGATTACAGGGGTTTGGTTGGGTTTTTTTTCCTTCCTCTTTGCTTCCAAGATTTTCTGTCTTCCTCGTTCTGAAGGAATGAGCAGAGAATAATCAAAATTGAGACACACACCCCCCACCTCGAGGTGAAAATATGGGTCTTGACTGAAGGAAAATGCAGGGATTGGAAAACCTGGATGTGCCTGAGTTTTCCCTGGCATTCCTGAAGCTGGGAATCACCACGTTTCTCTTCACCACCAAACCACCGTGGTGGATCTGGGGCTGGCAAATCCCCTTTTCCTTCACAACTCCAGCTGCAAGGGGATTCCCTGATCCATGGCACAACAAGAGGGGGTTTTTGGCCACCGTTTATATGGCTGGAAACCAGAGTACTTATTATTTTATTATTCTATTATATTTTATTCTATATATTAATATTATTAACGTTAACATATTATATCACTATAATATTAATATTAATATTAATACCAATATTAACATTATATTAATATCATATAATATATTAATGTTATATTTTATATTAATAGATTAGACTATAGTATATTATATTATAGTATATTATAATATAGTATATATTTATATATATTCTATTCTATTCTGTTATGTTATGTTATATTATGTTGTTATATTATATTAATGTATTATATTATATTTGTATTATTAACATTAAAATCTATAATAGTTTTATGATGTTAATATTAATGTTACCATTAATATTAATATTGTTATTATCGTAATATTATATAATATATTATATTAATACTATATATTCTATTCTATATATTATTATATTATATTACATTACATTATATTATATTATTATATTAAGTTATAAATTTTAGGGATTTGTAGGAACTCTGTGCTCCAAAAGAGTGGGGATCAGACCCGTGAGGACACCTCCGGGCTGTGGGGACTTTCTGCTCTGCTTTCTTGTGCTGTATGATGAGAAACCCATGGACCAGCTCCGTGCTGAGCCTTCATTCCCTGCCTGGGGAACAACTTCCAAGGCAGAGCTGCCAGGGAAGCTCCAGGTGAGAGGAGAGCAGGGCAGAAGCGGAGGAACACAAGTGAGTTATGCAATCGTGGCAGAGAAGCCGAGCTGCTGACAAGGGACGGGGGGAGAAAAATCCCTCGTGCTAAGTTGGGCGCGGGCCTGTGGCAGCGTGAGTCACCCTGGGCTGCCATGGTTACAAGGATTTCCGAGCACATCCAGAGCCTGCTCCCAGCGCTCGCTCCTTCCAAACTTGGAGAACAGGCAGCCGAGGGAAGGCCTAATAGCGAGTGGGTGCCTGCGAGGAGCAGAGTTACAGCAAAATCCCGGGAAAACGGCAGGGAGCAGCGTGAAAAAAACGGGATTAATGGAGCTCTGTTCCCCTTTTTGTCTGGTTTGCAAGGGCTGCTATCAGGATTGTTCCATACACAGCTGGGGGAAAAAAAAAAAAAAAAAAAAAAAAGAGGATGTTTCTGCACCGCGGTGAGAAAAAGCAGAGTAGTGTCACACAGATGAATCAGCTGGCAGCAACAGTGAGTCATGGAAATGCACCATGGAAATTCTCCAGTGGAATCTCTGAGGCACATCAAACCTGGCATCCCTGGGGAGCCAGGGGCAGCCAGGATGACGTGGAGCAGCAGCACATGGCCAAGAATTGCTCCTCCTCACGCGTGACCTCGCCCCTGCCATCCTCATCTGAGTCCTGAAGCGCTCAGGCAGGGATTTGAGCAGGCTTTCCATGGAAAAAGTGTGCCTGATCCTGGCTTTCAGTGAGCAGTGGAAGGACCTGGAGTCGGCTGAGATCGAGCTGGGCAGGGTGAAGGAAGAGGGAGACAAAGTCAAGGAACCAGGAGAGTTTGGGATGTCACCACCCATTATTTCCCAGCCCACCCCACTTTGGGCACGCTGGTGACACAGGGCTCTGCAGAAAGCTGAAAATCTGATCTTGAGGGGTTTTTCCGCTGTTTTTCCCGCCAGTTTCCTTCTCTGCTGCTCTGCTGTCCTACGATCTCCTACCATGACCTGGGCTGAAAAACAAAGCACAAGCAAGCAGCAAAATGGACCTGGTGTCCGTGATTTATGACAGGAGAATAAAGAAAAGCCACCCAAAGCTCATCAACAGCCAATTTCCAGCATGCTTGCCTTGTCCAGTCATCCAGGAGCCAGTGTTTGTGCTCTTTGCCCACAACTCCACTGCTAACATGGAGCAAAAACTTTTGCTTTATGCAGCTTCTGTTTCCTGCTCGCACAAAAAATGACACAGCCCTTGGAAATCTTTTGTATGGAAGCACAGAAGTGATGGATAGAATGGTGTTTAAAATGGTATCTGTCTTTTGTGGGTGCGTAGACCTCAAGCTGAAAAATTTAGCGTGGAATTGGATTCCTCTGAAACACTGTGGCCCCTGCAGAAGGGCACAGAAACTCCTGGAGTATGAACAGAGCCAAATACCAGCCCTTGCTCTGTATTTTCCAGTGTTTTATACCCATGAAGAACAGAAGCGAGGAGGAGTGTGGTGCTTCTGACACCCCAGCCAGAGGGGCTCCGCCGTGGTGGCCATGAGGGGATGGAAACTTCAGGTGGCTCTGCCAGGGTGGCCATGAGGGGATGGATCCCTCAGGCAGCTCTGTCAGGTGGCCATGAGGGGATGGATCCCTCAGGCAGCTCTGTCAGGTGGCCATGAGGGGATGGATCCCTCAAGCAGCTCTGTCAGGCGGCCATGAGGGGATGGATCCCTCAGGTGGTTCTGCCGTGGTGGCCCTAAGGGGATGGATCCCTCAGACGGCTCTGCCACGGTGGCTATGAGGGAATGGAACCCTCAGACAGCTTTTCCATGGCATCTCTGAGGGGATGGATTCTTCAGGCAACTCTGCCATCGGTCCCCTGAATGGACGGTTCCCTCAGGCAACTCTACCATTGCGCCCGAGGAAAGGCCGCCCCGGGCGGCCTCCGCCATGTCCCCCATGAGGGCACGGTAGCAAGGGCAGGGAGCAGCTCCCCGCCGCCTGGGTGTCCCCGTCCCGCCGCCAGCTCGGCAAGGAGGGAGAACCGTGAGCTGGAGGACGCGGCGGCGCTGAAGGGAGTGCGCCGAACTGTGCCAACATGGCGGCCAGGGGCGGGCGAGGCCA